TCAATTCCCAAGAATTGTGTTTGGCCGTATTAGGAATCTTCTCTTTTTTATTTTTTACTTTTGGTACTGGGGATTGAACTCAGGACCTTATGCTTGGGAGGCAGGCGTGGTGTCACTGAGCTGAATCCCTGGTCCTGGTTTATTATTTTATTTATTTATTTTTTGGTACTAGGGATCGAACTTGTATCCTTGCACTTGTAAGGCAGGTGGCAAAACCACTGAGCTAAATCCCCGGCTTATTTTGGATTTTATAGTTTTAGAAGGCCAAAGGCAAAACTGAGAAGTCAAATTACTTGGAGGTGGATTCCCTCTATGAGACTCCAGCAAGCAGTTTCAGTGATGTTTTTGGCCACATCTTTGAAGACTGTCTTGGAAATCTTTGTTCTTTCCTCTTTTAGTTTTCCTAGAATCACTGTCGGGTGTTGTGTATCTCCACTGATGCACTTGGAGGGATTTGGGGTTTTCGAGCTGAGTCTCTGTGGATGTAATTTGATCTTTATTTTATGCTGTGCAGTGGTTGGTTATCTTTGAATTTAAAAAGTTATCAGGCACCATGTTTATTACTAAATCTGAATCTTTTAAAAAAAAAAAAAAGTAATGATTTCTCCCATCCCTTGCTGGGACATTTGAAGGCTGGTTGAAGAAATATTTCACACTTGCTTGATTATATAATGGCTGTGCCCAGCCACCTTCCAGAAACAGCATAAGCCTGCTTGCAAAAAGATGTACATTGGAAATGATAATGGTTTCCATTTATGGATCAGCTGCTTTTTGCCAAATACATATGTTATGTATAGCCCTCTAACTCTTTGAAATAGGTTATATTTCTCCCTCTTATAGTTAAGAAGCTAGATGATCAGATTAATTTGTACAGTTTACTTATGCTGTTAATGAAGAGTAGAACTGGGGTTGAAAGTTGGACTATTTCCTTTATCCATTGGCCTGTGGCATGAGCATGCAGTGAGGCCCATAGTGGTGAGACTTTTCTGTTTATGAGCACGTTGCTTCCTTAGAAGCTTTCCATTAGTCCAAATAATACTGCATAGTAATATTAGCCAACCTGGATCTGCAGAATGCTTGCACTTTCTAGGCTCTTTAATGTGTAATTTATTTCTCTTTCTTTGTCTCTATTTTCTCTTTCTTCTCTCCCCCTTTTCCCCCCACTACCCCCCTTCCTCTCTTCTCTCTTTTCCCTTTCTTCCTCCTTCCCTCTTTTTCATCTGCCTGACAGGGTTGCCCACACTGGCTTGTGAATGTGTGATCCTCCTGTCTCAGCCTCCCAAGTGCCTGGGATTACAGGCATGTCCCATCCTGCTCAGTTGCAGTTTATTTAAATCTTACAACTCAGTGAAGCAGTTACCATTATTATTTCTACCCTGCATACGAAGAAACTGAGGCAAAAGGCGAAAATGGATTAGAAATAGTTCATCTGTTTGCAGAGCCCACATTTGTATTTCTTGTGCTGTGTTTGCCTAATGCAGACAGCCTGTGTTTGTATAGAAGTGTGCAGAGTTTTTTAACAGAATGGTGATTCTTCATGAAATCCTCAGACTCCTCATTTTCATCTCTTAAATTTTCTTTTAAAATTCAAACATGTTTGTACTTTAGTGATCTATTTTTGCATTGTAAATAAGTAAATAAGTGATAAACTGTTTCTCCTCTGCTAAGCCACCCTGCTTTGGAGCCAGATGATTATAGACTGAAACTTCTGCGAACTGCAAGCCAAATAAAATTTTCCTCTTAAAAAAAAAAAGTAAATAAATTTATTATAAATCACGGCTTCCAAGAAGCCCAATGTTCACTGGGATTACTGCAGCTGTGTTTAACCACTGTCACCTTTAGATAGTCACAGGCAGCATTAATACAGTTTGACTTTGAACCTTAACTTTGTTCATGCAGTTGCATGTGGAATTGTCTGTAGTGATTTTTGAAAGCTGATTTGCCATATAAAAAAGGTTGAACCATATGAGATGGACAGTATTTAACCTATTCACTCATTCATTCATTCATTCATTCATTTAGATTTAAGATTTTTTTCATTTGTTTAATGTAACTTTTTTTTTTTTTGGTACTAGGGATTGAACTCAGGACCTTGCACTTGAGAAGCAGGCGCAGTGCCACTGATCTAAATCCCCAGCTCAATTTAACCTTTTTAACATACAGAAATGTCAGGTTTATATCGTTTAATCTAGTAGGCCCAAGAGGAGGTCATTCCAGAGAAATCATATGGTTTTTGTTTTAAGAAACAATTTTTGGATAACACAGTATTAGATGTTTAAGGTTTTAAATTTTTAAATATTAAATGTTTATTAGTACATGTTTATAATACATAATGATTTTATATTCATTGTTAGGAGTTGGTACATGTGCTAGAATTTGAGTTTTCTCCACTGACATGCTTTTCCTGTGCAGTTATTTATCTGAGAAGTAAGTGTTGCATCTTACTTCATGTTAATATTTCTTTTCTTTTTTTAAACCTATGGCTAATTCAGAACTTATTTTTTCCTGTTTTGCAGTACTAGAGATTAAACCCAGGGCCTCACACATGTTAGACAAGTCCTTGCCATTGAGCTATCTTGCCAACCTTGGAGGTTATATCTTGTTATAGGTAGAAAATGATTTTAAAGCATTGCGGTTTGGAAGGTGTTTGTGTATATAATTCTTTATATATTTAAATTGTGTAACATATTCTTTGTTCATCAAACCTAATTTTAAAATGTACAGTACTATTTAGATTGAATTTAGGAATGTTTTTACTTTTATCTGCTTACTGTGACAAAATACCTGGGAGTCAACAAACTAAAAGAAGAAAGGTTTATTTTTGCTTACGATTTGTCTTTTTTTCTTCTTCTTTTGTTTTTTGAGACAGGATCTCACCATGTAGTTATGGCTGGCCTTGAACTCACTGTGTAGCCAAGGCTGGCCTCAAACTCATGGTGATACTCCTGCCCCGGCCTCTTGAGTGCTGGGATTACAGGCATGTGCCACCATTCCTGACATGGTTTATGGTTTCAGTCTATGGTCATTTGGCCCCATTTCTTGGGCCTTTGGCAAGGTGGAACATCATGGTAGTAGGGAGTGCGGTAAAACAAAGCTGCTCATCTCATGGTAGGTAGTGGAGGTCGGGGTGAAGACAGAGGAGAAAGGGGGAAAACAAAAGGGAGAGGGAGAAAGGGACATAGGACAAAATACACCCTATATCAAGGGCATGCTCCCAATGAACTACTTCTTCCAGGTAGGCTCTGCTCATAAAATTTTCATCACCTCCCAAAAGCCCATGAAGTTATACATCTATAAATGAATTAATGAGGTTAGACCTTCATGACCTAGTTATCTACCAAAGGCTCCAACTCTGAATGTGGACGCACTTGTGATCAAGCTCTTAACACATGAGCTTTTGAGGGACATTTAAGAAACAAACTATGACAGAATCCATAATGGAAAACAGAATCAAAACAAGCATACCACCATGGACCTATTTCTGGAGAGAGTGATAACCTTTAAAGAAGACCTTCAGGGAAGGCTTTTAGGGGACATTCCAAAAGAAGGCACAGTTATCATAGGTGATGATAGCTTTATGGGTGTTATTGTCCCTGAAGACTGTCTAGTTAAATGATGGCAAACCTTTTAGATCTTTCAGTGACAAAAACAACCTGCTGTGGCAGGTGTGCCATAGGTTCACCGCCATTGTTCTAGTTGATTAAGATTTTGGAGCAGAAGATAGTGATATAATCCTAATTCTGTGCTGATGTGGTTTGTTCCTTAACCTTTAACCAAACAAATTTAAACAATAAATGAAGCTGGGTGTGGTGTGGCACGTGCTTTTAATCCCAGCACTTGTGAGGCTGAGGCAGGAGTATCACTGCAAGAATTACCTGGGCTACATAGTGAGCTCAGTGCCAGTCTGAACTACATAGTGAGCCCATGTCTCAAAAGCCAAAAAAAAAGTGAAAAAAGAATAGAAAAAAGCTTATAAAATAAGGATATAGCTAGGAATGGTGATGCATGCCTATAATCCTAGCACGCGAGAGTTCAAGGCCCAAAGCCAGCCTGGGCTATATAGCAAGGTCCTGTCTTAAAAAAAAAACAAAACAAAAAAACCCAAAAAGGATATAAACAAAAATTTTTGCACATGAGTGATTTGTGTGCAGTTTGTTTCTGTTTTAAGGTAAGAGTCAAAAAGTTTAAAAAATTTAAAATTTTATAAAGAAAAGAATTTTTAAAAACATTTCTTCTGATTATGGAGCAGTACCTAGAAAAATTAGCATAACATTTACCAAAAGTTTAGCATGCTGTTTACTTCTAATAGAAAATATATGATAACATTTAGGAAATATTTTATTTACCCAAGAAAGTGTGCACTAAAGATACTCTTGGATGACCCAGTCTGCAGAGGAGGAATGACTTGAGTTTCACGTAACTGCTCTCACTGGGGTGAGGTTGCTGGGAAGGGAAGGAGCCTCCAGTGAGCAGTGTAGCACACTTGGACACCCTGTGATGGCTTTACTTTTTGTTACTGATACATGGCACACTATGGTCTTCTGTTTATTTGGTTTCTCAAAATCAACTTTGTTTCTTTAAATTTGATCATCATATTCTCCAAGTTTTCCTCATGTCATCCAATTCCATTCACTTGGTTGCTTTGTTTTGTTTTTCCTTGTTTTTTTGTTTGTTTGGTTTTTTTGTTACCAGGGATCGAACTCAGGACCTTGTGCTTGCGAGGCAGGCAGTGGAACCACTGAGCTAAATCCCCAGCCCAATGTTGATCTCTTCTTTATAAAGATGAATGTATCATAGTTGTTTACCTGAAGTTGTATTTATTCTCTCCAAACAATAATTTTGGGAAGTGCTGGCAGTCTGCTTGGTGTCTCTGGCTGCATATTCATGCTGTTCTTTCATTTTCCATTGCTGTATGTTAATGAATGTTTTGTAATACTAGGATAAGCACAAAGGATCTTTGCTTTATTTTATTTTATTTTATTTTATTTTATTTTTTTCAGTACCAGATACTTTTACAAAAACAGATGATTTTGTGACATCTAATGCGCCAGCTGTTGACCTGGACCACAAGTTTAGATGCAAGGTTGTGGACTGTTTAAAATTTTTCCGCAAAGCTAAACTGCTGCACTATCACATGAAATACTTCCATGGGATGGAGAAGTCACCAGAGCCAGAAGAAAGCCCAGGGAAGAGGCATGTCCAAACGAGGGGCTCTTCAGCTTCTGACAAGGCTGGCCAGGAGAGCTTGTCTAGGAAGCGGGCCTCTGCAAGTTCTCCGAGTAAGTATCTTGGTTCTGCATTATATCATTGAGGGCTCTGCTGCTTAGTCACAGTGCTTATATCTGACACAGAAAGATTGTTCTAGTTCAGTTGAATTCCATTAGACTAAATGGTAAGTGATCTCTAGAAGTTGTATCATGGAGTTATGGCCCTTGTGGGGGAAGGAGGAATACCTAACTCTGGTCTCGTTTCTGTCCCTTGCTGCTTAAGTTACCTTGAGGAAGTTACCTAGCTGCTGAAGATTCCGGTGCTCTCAGGATGAGTGGGGATAGTTGAGCAAGGAGGCTCCTGCAGAAGAAGCCACTTGTGCCCAGAACAGTATAGGTGCTGTCATTCTACCAGGCAGCAGGAAAAATACAAAAGAAATAAAAAAGTGATATCTTGATTCTTCTTCTGGATGCAAATTTTGAATCTTCTTGCCTTTTAATTGAAGTTAAAGAATATATTTGTTTTGTTTTTGCTGTGTTTTGAGACAGAGTCTCGCTGTGTAATTCAGGCTGTCCTTGAATTCATGACAGTGCTCCTGCCTAAGGAGCAAGTGCTGGCATTCTTTTCCTTTTCTGCGGGGGTACTGGGGATCAAACCCAGGACCTTATGCTTGCTTGCAAGGCAGGCAGCAGCACCACTGAGCTAAATCCCTGGCCCAGAAAATATTTTCTGTTCTTTCTTTTTTTTTTTTTCTTTTTGGCGGGGTGGGTTCAGGGATCGAATTCAGGACCTTGCGCTTGCGAGACAGATGGTGAAACCAGTGAGCAAAAAAACTTTCATTTTTTCTTGCAGAGAATCTTTTGGAAGTTTTTTCTGAAATTACAAAAATTGAAAAATTATATATCAAGGGAATTTGATTTTACTTTTTTTAATTAAAACAATTTTAGTTTTTTGGTGGTACTGGGGATGGAACTGAGGATCTTATGCTTGTGAGGCAAGTGGTGGCACCACTGAGCTAAATCCCCAGCCCTCAAGGGAATTGTAGAAGTAATGAATTTCCAATAAATTCTACAATTTTTCCAGCTGTTTACCTGAAATTGTAGTATCACTGTTTATTTATTTATTGGCTTATAGCTATTCCATTGAAATATATAATATACCTGTAATCCCAGTATTTGGGAGGCTGAGGCAGAAGGATCATGAGTTTGAGGATAGTCTGGGCTACATAGCAAGAACTTGTTTCAAAACAAAAGAACAAAAAATAACATCAAACAAAGCCCAGTTATCAAAATTCCTCATCTCCTCTGCACAGCTTTAGCTGTTTTAATATTCTCTGGGAAGAAAACGTTGCTTATTGAGCATGGAATCAGAGCAAAATTAGAATCTTCTCATGCTAAAATAGATCAACCAGATCATTTGACAATTATTTATTACCAGGCTCTGACTTGGGTCCTGCAAAAGAGACCTGAATCCCTTCTGACTAGTGCTCATGGTTGTGCCTGTTCTAGTGCAGAGAAGGAGCAAAATGGATTGAATCATTTTCTGAGACATCTCTTGCCTGGGCAGTTTTTATTCATTTAGGGCCACTCACTGATCCCTTAGGGATGTTAATAGCTATTACTGGCCAGTCTCACTGTGTTGGGTGGCCAGTTTTGTGTTGTAGGTGAGTTTAGATATCTTTGCTTCTGGCCAGGCATGGTGGCACATGCCTGTAAACCTAGCACTTGGGAGGCTGAGGCAGAATGATTGCCACAAATTTGAGGCCAAACTGAACTACATAGTAAGACCTTGTCTCAAAAGCTAAAAAGATAAACAAAACCCCAAAACAATATATGTGTAATTGCTCAGGCAGAATGTAAACTTTTGATGAATGTTGCTAATCACTCTTCAGAATGGTTGTCCTAATGGGTAGTCTCCTACCAACAGGTTACTAATATCAAATTGTGAATGTTGTTCCCTATTGGTACTGGAGATTTACCCAAGGCCTCATGAATGCTAGGCAAGTGGTATATCCCTATCCGTGTTATTTTGTCTTAACCCGTTTTTATTTTTAAATTTGAGATAATGTCTTGTGCCCTGGCTGGCTATGAACTTGTGATCTAACTCCATTGGCCTCCCAAGTAGCCTCGATTACATGCTGTAAACACTGATAATACTATCAAATTTAAAATTATTGCTAATTTGATAGGTAAAAAATATATTTTTTTTAACAAAACATTTATTGGTACATTTTAGATATACATGATGATAGTGTTCATCTTAGGAAATTTGTATCAGTGCATGATATATCTTTTTTCCCTTATGGTTTATTGTGAACCTAGTCAATATTTTTTCTTTTTGTTTTGCAAAACGTTTATTAGTACATTTATTTTATATGCATAATGATAATATTCATCGTATGATGGAGTTTGAACCAGTACATGATATATCTTGCTTCTTCTTTTCATACGTGAAAAATATTTAAGTGGCTTTAGTATTTTATTTTTTTAAATACTAGAATATTTTAAATACAGAAAAGCCCACAGATTATATAGCAAATATATAAATATCCCCTATGTAGACTTAACAAATGTCAGTGTTTTGTCATATTTCTATCAATTTTTTTCAAAGGGGAAATCAGTGAAGTAGGAAAAACTGATGAAATAAGAACCTCCTGGGTGTGGTACTACTTGTCTGTAACCCCAGCACTCTGGAGTCTAAAACAGGAGGATTGCCGTGAGTTGGGATCAACCTGAACTAATAGCTAGACCCTGTCTCAAACAAAACAAAATGAAACAAAACTTCTATACTGCTTTTCCTTTTTTTCCTCTTATATGTCTCCAAATATGTACATATATATTAAGAAATAACAGTATTTTGAGTGATATAAGCACTTTCTCCTTTGGTTCTGTATTCTAGCTTCTTTCGTCAAACCTGTAGCTAGATCTCTAGTTCTTTAGCTGCTGTACAGTATTTTTTTTCTTTTTATTGAGTTTATTGGTACAATCTAGGTATACAATACAGTTACATTCATTATTGGGATCCTGTACCTTTACATGATAGGTCTTGATTCTCATTTTTTGTCCTTGTCCCTGCCCTCCCTTCACCTCCTCCTCCCCTCCCCATTTACACACACTTTATTTCCATTTTTTTCATTTTTTCATATTTTTTTCCTGTCCCTTATTACCTTTCCCTCACCCTTCCCACTTTCCCTACACCTTTAGCCCTTTACTTCCTATTTCACATTATTAATTATCTCATTAGGATCTTGTGTACTATTATAGTTTTTCACACCAGAGAAACTATTCGGTATTTCAGTTAAAGAAATCTCTGTATGAACATTAAAAACAGGGAATCCTCAAATAAAACTAAAAAGAAAAGTAAAAGAGAAAAGGCAATGATGTAAAATTAAAATAATCCTTAATTCTGAAGATGAAAATGGTCTTTGAACATATTCAAGTTGTTTCTTGCTCTTGTAGTCTTATATTATTCTCTTTTTTCATTATTTAGAGACTACTTTATTAGTTTCTGTAATCAAACCCACATAGATATGACCTTACATATTTAATACAGTGCATTACCCCTGTAGAAATGGAAAAAAAATGAACATTTCTAGACCAATATGGCTGTTAATTTCTGTACAATGCCAACTCAACACAGTAAACTGGGATAATTTTTTCCAAAGTCAACAGCACAGTTAGTTTCCAAAAATTCAAATTATGTATATATATATATAAAAAGACCAATAATAGCAGTATGTTATGCATCAATAGCAGCAACAGCTTTTCCAGGTTCTGCAGTCATGTGAACAAAATTATACACATTCAGCACACTCCATTAAAAAAACAAAAACAAAAAAATGAAGAAAAGAATAATACCCAGAAAACAGCAAAGTTCTGTTGCTGTTGTGGTACCTGGCACCATTTTTTTTTTATTAGCATCTTAATCGTCATCTGGAGAGAGAACATTCTAGAGTAACATCATTAAAAATAGCTCTGATAAAGCATGGCCACTACTACGTATCATAAAGCAGGTACAAGATATTTTACATTCACAGATGTATGATACAGTACCCTCCTACATCTATAATACTAGAATCAGTTTCAGTTTGAAATTTACTTTGTCTGCAAATAAGATTGCTACCCTTGCTTTTTTTCTGGGCTCCTGTCACATAGAGAATTGTTTTCCATCCTTTCACTTTCAGTCTATGGGCTTCTTTTTGCACTAGGTGTGTTTCTTGTATACAACATATTGTTAGATTTTGCTTCTTACTCCATTCTGCCAGTCTATTTCTCTTGATTGGTGAGTTGAGGCCATTGACATTGCTGGTTATAACTGATATGTACTGACTTATTATTGTCCTGTTATTGCCTTTTGTTGACTCTTTTTACTTTTTCACCTTCTCCTTTTAGTTTCTTGCCTTGCCTATTTGATTTGCTCTGTTGGGCCTCATGGTGTTGTTGTTACCTTCATTGTCTTTTTCTAGGATATTGTTTAGAATTGCTTGTAGTGCTGGTTTGGTATTTGTGTAGTTTTTCAGATGTTCTTTGTCTTGGAAGTATCTTATTTCCCCATCCATTTTGAAAGAGAGTTCTACAGGCTACATCAGTCTAGGTTGGAGGTTGTTCTCTTTTAGTACTTGAAATATCTCATTCCAGGCTCTCCTTGCCCTAAGGGTTTGTGTTGAAAAGTCTGCTGTGATTCTGATGGGCTTTCCTTTGCATGTGATTTGTTTCTTTTCTCTTACTGCTTGTAGTATTTTGTTCTTCTGTTGGGTTTCTGGGATCTTGATTATTATGTGTCTAGGTGTAGATTTTTTTTGATTGTGGCTAGTTGGGGTCCTATATGCCTCAGTTATCTGAATGTCAAATTCTTCCCCTCTGTTTGGGAAGTTTTCTGTCATTAATTCTGTGAACAGCTTTTTTAAGTCATTTGTTTTTTCTCCTGCTACTTCATGGATTCCTGTCAGTCTTATGTTATTCTCCTTTGCATCATCTAGGAGTTGCTGGATCAATTTCTCATGATCCCATACTGTTTTTAAGAGACCTCTCTTTTCACAGTCACTGACTGCAATTTTATCTTCTATATCTGA